GGCTAAGGCAAGAAAACGTTGCTTAAAAAGCTCATAGCTACCAAACAGATAGTCAATGGTCACCAATATTTGAGGAAAGCATTAGGTAAGAAAGAAGAGAAGCAAAACAAAAAAGAAATTCAAAGGAAACCGACAATTCAGGGAAAGAAAACTTCAACAACAAAAACCCCACCATGCTAAAAAAAAAAAAAAAAGAAAATAAAAAACAAATATCTTTCTTTTAAAAGTTCAAGCAAGAAAATGTTTTTGCAAATTTAATAGGATTGAAAAGTATAGTTGAAGAAAATAGACCAAAAAGAGAAGGAAAAACAGGAGATATAAGTAAAACTTTTATATCAGCAGGTCCATCATGAAATGCTCTAAGGCAGCAGTTCTCAACCTGTGGGTCGCGACCCCTTTGGGGGTTGAATGACCCTTTCACAGGGGTCGCCTAAGACCAATGGAAAACACATATATAATTACATATTGTTTTTGTGGTTAATCACTATGCTTTAATTATGTTCAATTTGTAACAATGAAAATACATCCTGCATATCAGATATTTACATTACGATTCATAACAGTAGCAAAATTACAGTTATGAAGTAAGTAGCAACGAAAATAATTTTATGGTTGGGGGTCACCACAACATGAGGAACTGTATTAAAGGGTCGTGGCATTAGGAAGGTTGAGAACCACTGCTCTAAGGACTTGGTATTACAATAATGCTTCTCAAAAAAAGATTAGTACTGCCTCCCCCTAGGGCAGTGATGGCGAACCTTTTCAGCTCGGCGTGACAGCATTTAAGAGAAACATATCAATTGGTTGCCTCCAGCACATGCTCCAATCAAACCTGCAACCCAAGTGCGTGCCCTTGAACAGGAATCAAACCCGAGACTTTCGGTTCATGGGCCGACACTCTAACCAGTGAGTCACACTGGCCAAGGAAAAATAGGTATAATTTTGATTCATTCACACCAAAGCGCTATTGTGTTGGCTGTTGTCATTTTTTCCCATTGGACAATCTAAGGGAAAAGAGGTCAGTTGCCCCTGACTAAGTAGTCAGGTATTGCACGTTTTATTTTTAGTTTTTAAATATATTTTTATTGATTTCAGAGAGGGAGATAGAAACATCAATGCTGAGAGAGAATCATTGATCGGCTGCCTCCTGCACGCTCCCTACTGGAGGATCAAGCATGCAACCTGGGCATGTGCCCTGACCGGAAATCGAACCATGACTTTCTGGTTCATAAATTGACGTTCAACCACTTGGCAACACTGGCCGGGCATGGTATTGCATGTTTTAAAAATTCTTGAGGTACATCAACTGAAAATCACTACCCTAGACTTTTGGTTTCCAAAGCTTTCAAAAAGAAACAGGGAGAATGACATAAGGCTGTAGACTCTTAATCCTATCGAGTAAAATATTTTTTACTCTATTGTCACCATCATTTGAAATAGGAAACTACATTACAGTATTTCACAGTAGAATCATAAAAATGCTGTAATAGAAAAGGCACGGGAACTTCCAAATCATCATTCTTGACTACCCTAAGAAAATGCTGACAATAAAAGGAAGAGTGCAGGGGAAACAAAGTTCTTCCCCCTTTAATTAAAAATGAAGAATTTAAAAAAAGTGAGAAGAAATCAAGTTACATGTGAGAAAAATATGTCCGATAGGGTAAGATTGTTAGGTAGCAATATCTGTCGTGTTATGACAAGTCTATATGCCAGTGTGTGCAAACACAAACACTAATTAAAATTTTTATATTTGCTGAAGAATTAGCAGTTTTAGAATACAAATTCCTGGACTATAGTTTCTGTGTATTATCTATGTCATATTTTTATAGTTGACAAACAGCATTTTATATATACCATATGTGAATTTTTTATTACATACTAACTATAGAAACATAAGGACATGTTTGCAATATACATGAACTATACTTGCTACATCCTGGGGGCTCAAAAGAACTTTTTGAAATGTACTGAAGTGATGCCATGTGATGGTAGACAAAGAATTACAGGACAGACTCGATTTCTATGAAAAATGCTAAGATGACCATATAATACAGTGGTTACAATAGTGGTAATAAGAACATGGGCTTTGAATTCAGACAAACCTGGGTTCAAGTGTCAACTGTAACACTTTATAGCTGGGTGACCTTGCAGTTATTTAACCTAAATTTGTCTCATCTGTAAAACAGGAATGGTACGTGCATAAGATTGTAATGCTGATTAAAGGGCAGTTATTATTTTTATACTAGAGGCCCGGTGCACGAATTCATGCACCAGTGGGGTCCCTCAGCCTGCCCTGTGGGATTGGGCCGAAACCAGCTGACATCCCCCAAGGGGTCTCGAATTGTGAGAGGACGCAGGCCAGGCCAAGCCAAGGGACCCCACCAGTGCACAATCAGGGCCAGGGAAGGACACGGGAGGTTGGCCAGCTGGGGAAGGACTGCGGCAGGGTTCCAGGGCGTGTCTGGCCCATCTTGCTCAGTCCCAATTGGCCAGACCCCAGCAGCAAGCTAACCTACTAGTTGGAGTGTCTGCCCCCTGGTGGTCAGTGCATATCATTAGCATATTACGCTTTGATTGGTTGAATGGCCGACAGGTCAACCAGGCACTTAGCATATTAGGCTTTTATTATATAGGATAACATGAATTGCCAAAATCCTACAAAGTCCATTTTTTCCAAGTCCTAGGCCAAATTTCTGGAGGATGAGGCAGAAACCTGTATTTTTTTTTTAAGTTTTAAAAGTGATTCTGACTGGCATTTTTGTTCAGAATTCACTGTCCTAGAGCCTTACTAACAAATATTTTAATACAAGGTAAGGCACCCATACAAAGATTAAAAAAAAGCTTTAAGACATGAACCTTTGGTTAGTTCCAAGTTTCTAAAATAGGGCTTTACCCCAAATTCCTTTTAGAAAGAAAAAAAGCATACTGAAAAATTCCAATTTAAAATCTTTCAAAGTCAAGGAATACATGATTCCATATTAAATTTTTACATTAAAATTAGGTATATCTTTGCCTCTTCATATTCATTATTGAACAGTTTCATATGTGTAAATGAACAGTGTACCCAAGACTATATACAATATGTAGGATGTCTTATTTATCTTTCTTAAAAAAATAAGTTTAAGTTTACAGTTGAAATCCACTGATGCATCACTTAAACCCTCCCAACAAATTTTTATTCAACACAGACATTTTAAAATGTGCACAATTTTACTAAAGACTGAACGCACTTAAAGCAAATTCAACACTGCAGAAGCAAACCTGAAACCCTACTAAGTAACCCAATAAAACATTTTAGAGAAATGTATAGAATAAAAGCATCTGAACACAATCATGAACATTTTATTTCAAAAAATACCAGTATGAAATAATGAAAATCCCTGGAAAAAATTAAGAGTCTAGAAACCCTGTAGAACTTCTTCAAAATAAGCAAGCAATCAAGCAAACAAAAAGCAGAGCTTAGAATGGCTATATCAGAACTAATATGCCAACAGTAGATCAACTGAAAGCAAACAAGCAAGTAAAAGGAATCTTCCTTTAATGACTTTTCTGTTACTGTCAAGGAAAAAACTAGATGAGAAAGCAAGGACCAGGGCAGACAACACAGACCTCACTAATGTATGTATCTTACTAATTTAGACAAATGACATTTTTCTCAGCTACTTAAATTACTGAAGCTTATAAATGAGTAATGCAATTGCTAAGCTGAAAAGTGGTAGAATACAAGCTTTTGTGCAACAGTACAAAGTTCATAAACACTATTTCAGACTGGTGAAGTATTATTTAGTGAGCCCAAGCTTCGATGCATTTACAAATGCAATTTTAAAAAATAAATGCCTATCTTCACTCACACATAATATTAAGTTTGCAACCTGGTGTGGTAGAAAGTTGTGTATCAGCAGAATTCTTATAAATCCCAGGTATTTTAAAGCAGACTATACATACAGAAGTTTTAAAAAATAGACAATGTTGACTTAAACTTTTTGAAAGTTGTATTTCTAAAAGCCCTATAATATCTCAAAGCACAATCCTAAAACACTGACTTCACTAACAGGTGTTAATCTATAGTTAATTTTTTCAAAACTTGCTAAGTGTCAAAATATATAACTACTCTTACCCTTTACCCACTTTGTAGAGTCAAATAAAAGTTTACTAGTTCAAAATCAAACCGAATATATATATGGATACCCATATATATTTCTTTGAGTTCACCCTTTCTAAGTTAATCCAAAATTCCTTCTTTAAACACATTTTCTTAACTATTCACCCTAGGCATAAATGACGTATGTGTGAGTGAATAATACTGCTGACACTCTAAATATATATACATACCAATCTGAAGAACAGGTGCAACACTATTTAGATACATGCTTTTTCCCCCCCTTCTAAGCCTAAATTTGACATGGCAATGATTTAAAAATAAACACAAGTACCCCCAAATGTTGAACAATCCTTTTAACAATATGCAACCATTCTGAAATCCAAGACACGAGCCCTTAAACTACCAACATCTACCAAGACAGGTAAGCCAGCCCATCCAAGTTTCACCTTAAGAAGGAAGGGTCCTGAGGATACATACATTTGCTTCACCTCTGTGAGGTAGTAAACTGAGATAAAAACATTTTACTCCCAGCTAGCATTCATTATTTTCCTCAGTCGTTACACAAACACAACACAGATCGTCTAGGTTGGTTTTTACAGGTAAAGAGGAGGACGGAGGAGGGGGAGACCTGGTGAAGGGTACCCTACAAAAAATTCAGCACAGATATACCTCGTTTTATTGCGCTCCGCTTTATTTCTTCAGATGATGCGCGTTTTGTGTGTGTGTGTTGTTGTTTTTTTACAAACTGAAAGCAAGACCCTCCACCCGCAAAAAATATTGCCACTTGCTCAAACGCAGTGGGTCTGGAGCCGAACCCGCAATCTCTCCAAGAGACGCCTGCATGGTTAAGGCTTGGTGAGCCCGTCCCTAAACTCAGGCAGAAGCGAAGGGGAATGAATCTAAGTGCATGAAGCCAGCAGCCCGGGTGAGAAGGCACTTCCAGTTGCGGGAGGAAACGAACACTGCACAGGTCAGCGACAGGCTTCAGAGCAGCGCTGGGAAGAAGCCCGGTGGTCAAGGGGCAAGCAGGTACCAACTCCAGGGGAGGGGGCCAGACGGGCCAAATGGGAAAGGGGGGTGATCCGGGAAAAGGTGGTAAAAGACCCGTCCCAGGCCCTCTCCTCGGGCTCTCCGTCTGCAGGGGCCACACACGAGAGCAAGTTCCGTGCTCAGCAGCCCACGCCGGACTCTCCCCCCGAGAGGCGCTCAGCCCCCGGCCCCGGCGCCCGGCAGGCCGCCTCCAGAAGCCCCCGCAGACGCCATAGTCAGAGCCAAAATGGCTGCCCCGAGGAAGCTCGCACCGCGCAGCTAGCGAGGGCTGGGGAAACCAGCTTCTGCGGGGCCGGGGGAGGAGGACTCCCGGAAGAACCGTGGCCAGGACCCGCGCCCCCCCGAGCCGCACAGGTAGGTCCCTCCGGGCTTCCCCAGGCCGCGCGGGCTCCCTCCGAGGGAAGCCCCGTTCCCACCCGCACCGGGAGCCCCGCCGCCGTCCCGCACACCGACCCCAGCCAGGTACCTGCAGCTCGGCCCGCTCCACCTCCCAGTGCGCCCGCTCCATCTCGAACCGAGCCCACTCGTGCTGGATGTAGTGCAGGATGCCCGGGATGGTGTACTGCTGCGGCCGGGACAGCTCGGGGCCTGCCGCGGGACCCGCGCCCTCGGCGGCCGGAGGACCCCCGCTGCCCCGCCGCGCCGTTTGCCCCCCGGCGGAAAGGCTTATGTTTCCCCCCAGGGTCCCCTCTTGCTGCCGCGGAAGGGGCCGCCCATCCCCCGGGGCCGCCTCCCACCGCCTTCCGCGAGCTCGGTCCATTGTGTGTGGGGGCCCCCGGCCGGGGCGCAGGGTGAGACGCCGACAGCTGGGGAGAGGGCCGGGGAGGGGGGGCCCCCGCGCGGGCGGCCGGGCGGAGGCCGGCTGGGAGCGGGGCGGGGAGGGGATGGGTGCTGTATGCCTGCCGTGGGTCAGAGCAGGGAGCTGCCGGCCGCCGCCATTACAGTCCCTCCTCCATCTGCCCGTCTCACTCACTCACTTTAGGGAAAGGGGGGGCCGCGGCGGGAGGGGGAGGGGCAGGGTTGGGAAGGAGAGGGACGTAGGGCCGCCCCCCGCGCTGCATGCCGGGTAGGGAACGCCGCCGCCGTCGCACGCCCGGCGGCCAAGTAGAGGCCCGCCTCACCCCACGCAGGCGCACTGAGGGCGCGGTCGGGCCGGCTTCGCTGTGGGGGGCGGAGAAGGAGCCCGGCCCCGCCCCCAGGTCCGCCCCCGACTCGCTCCGGGCGTCCGGCGGCGGGGACCGCACCGGGGGCTGCGGGCTCCGACTCTCGTGAGCGAGCCGGTCCCCGGCTTCCCAGCGGTGTTTCCTTCGCTCGGCCAGGCCCAGGCGCCGCTGTCCAGCGAGGGCCTCCGCGACGAGCCTGCCTGGGAGCCGTTTCACCTTGCGGGTCGCCCGGCGGCCGCGGTCGGATTCCGGGCGTTTCTCTCGCATTCCTGGCGTGCTTCGGGCGGCCCTCCCCGCGCGGCGGGCCTCGGCCTGTCACTCGCTCGGCTCGGGTTCTAGCGCCGGTCGGGTCCCGGGGCTGTGGGGACGGTCTGTCTCTGGCAAACAGCCCAGGTCCTTGCGGGGATTCCCGGTCAGCGCTCCGAGCCCGGCTTCGGTCCCGAGTCCGTGCTCGCGGGCGCCCGTCGTAGCTGGTTCCACTATGCCTCCCTCTTATTCCAGGATGGGTTCGGTTTTGGGGAGTGGAGCAGGAGCGACTCTTTTCTTTATTTTTATTTTTTTTCGTGAGAGATGGGGAGGTAATGAATCAGTGTTCAGCGGTCCTCAACCTGTGGGTCGCGACCCCTTTGGGGGTCGAACGACCCTTTCACAGGGGTCGCCTAAGACCATTGGAAAACACATATATAATTACATATTGTTTTTGTGATTAATCACTATGCTTTAATTATGTTCAATTTGTAACAATGAAGTTGGGGGTCACCACAACATGAGGCACTGTATTGAAGGGTCGAGGCATGAGGTAGGTTGAGAACCACTGGTAGGTCTTTAGCTGGTGGATAGAGGGAGAAAGGTAACTTTGAAGAAGACCGGTTAGTAACCATTAGACTAACAATTTGTTGTTTTAGAAGTGAATGAGTTTACAAGTATTTCATTCCTACCAGAATCTTTTGATGGAAATGAAAAATAAATGCACCGTGAATCCTAGATGAATGGCTAAAGATGCTTTCTTGGGTCATTAAATGTTGTTTGAGCGAGTGTAATATACACGTAAGAGGCAAGGTAAACCTTTTAAGAACCATAGTGTGTATTCTTATGTGATGAGGTTGCCAGGAAACATGTTTACTGAACTGTAAGTTTCTAAGTTAATACAGCTAATAACCATCTAGTTGAAAAATAGGACAAAAATAATACTTAACAGCATAATAAGGAAAAGGAGGTTTAGTAATTATAGTTATGCAGGAAAATTGCATATAAAATTGATGGCAATTTTTTTCTTCTACAAAGAAAATTTTCACTATGGAATATATAGGATCACTCAGAGCGTAATTTCTTTTTCTTTCTTTCTTTCTTTTTTAAATATTTATAAGAGTTTTTTGAGCCAAGCTGACAACATATGCTGGGGAGCAAGACCTCAAATGCTCACACTTAGGGTATAATTTCAAAGAGATAAAGTAATACATCTTATTCTATCATATCTATTCTACTGTTATTATAGTTTAATGGAAAGCAGACTGGACTTGTTGCGCATGCTGCCATTATTTTATATATGAAATGAGGTCTTAGGTTACAGCATTAAGGATTCTCCATTTTATAGTAACTAACATTCAACCTCCTTATGAGGCCCCCCACCCCACCCCCCATTTCTTTTTAAAGGGCCTCATAGCACATAAAAGTTCCGAAATCCCATGCTGCTTCAAGACCTGTATACCACAAGAAACATTTGTGAGAGAGTGTGGTTGACCTCCATGATGTTGGCATCAAAAGAAGCAGAACTTGCACAGTTATACTTCCCACTGGTACCTCAAGCTCAAGTAAAGACTGGGTTTATAATTGTTATTTTCCTCCCCGTTCACTTTCAGAAAACCAAAAAACTGTGCTCCTCTTGTATTATCTATTTCATTAAGTGCACTACATCCAAACCTGAGGCCTGGCAGTCATTCTAATACCTTTCTTTCACTCAGCCCCCACATCCAATCTCTTCCACAGTAACATCTTTAATATCTATTCCATTATCTTCATGTCTCAGTTTAAACCTCCCACCTCTATTCTTCCCTCACTTCCCACTACCACTGATGCCTGAGCGATCTTTAAAAGGCAGATCTGATCATGTCATTCTCTATTTAAAATCTTTTAGTGATCACCAAATTTAGAATAAAACCCAAATTTTAGCATAGCATATAAAGGTCCTTCAAATTCTAGAGGCTCCTGTCACCTAATCTAACATCACACCATCATGGCACCCTATTCTCTCCAGCCAAACTGCACTGTTTTGGGTTCCTCAAATGCATAAAGATATTTCATTTCAAAGGAATTTAATACATGCTGTGCCCAGTGCCTTTCCTTACCTTCTTCCCTCAAAACTCAGCCCAGGTATTAATTCCTCCAAGAAGCTTTCCAAATCTCTGAATTATTTAGAGACCCCATCCTAATACTCTCTCATGCTTTTCTCCTATTACAATACTAGAGGCCTGGTGCACAAAATTCGTGCACTGGGGGTCGGGGGGTGGGGGTGGCGGGTAAACCCTCAGCCCAGCCTGCACCCTTTCCAATCTGGGACCCCTCAGGGGATGTCCAACTGCCAGTTTAGGCCTGAAACCACAGGGATCAGACATCCCTCTCACAATCCAGGACTGCTGGCTCCCACCTGCTCACCTGCCTGCCTGCCTGCCTGATTGTCCCTAACCGCTTCTGCCTGCCAGCCTGATCGACGCCTTACTGCTCACCTGCTGGCCCAATCGCCCCAACTGCCCTCCCCTGCCGTTCCAGTCCCCCCCAACTGCCCTCCCCTGCCGACCCGGTCACCCCAACTGCCTTCTCCTGCCGGCCCAGTCCCCCCAACTGCCCTCCCCTGCTGGCTCGGTCCCCCCAACTGCCCTCCCCTGCCAGCCTGGTTGCCCCTAACTGCCCTCCCCTGCCAGCCATTTTGTGCCCACAACTGCCCTCTCCTGCCGGCCTGGTTGCCCCTAACTGCCCTCCCCTGCAGGCCATCTTGTGCCCACATGGGGGTGGCCATCTTATGCGAGGGCATGATGGTCAATTTGCATATTACCTCTTTATTATATAGGATTTAAATTGTCTATATACTGATCAGTGACACACTAGCACCTGCACATAACAATGCAAATCTGCTTAACTCATTTATTTGTTAAAAAGTTCTTGATTGGCTACTATTTTTCAGATACTCTGCCAGTCCCTGATGATCCACTGTGAACCAAGCAGACATAATCTCTTCCCTCACATACGTTCCATTCTAGTTTTAAGCAAGCACCAACCACCCTGCCTTCCTCAATATCTGTCCAGATGTGTCTTAAAACTGTCTCTTTTAAAATTTCTACTGTGCTCCCTATTTGAAGAATTTAACCATCCTACATTTACCCTATTATTATTTTTTTAATACTTACCCAATGATATTTTTTCCTTTGATTTCTAGAGAGGTGGAAGGAAGGGAGGAGGGGGTGAGAGCAAGAAACATCGATGTGAGAGAGACACATCCATTGGTTGCCTCCCGCACTTGCCCCTGTTGGGTCTGGGAAACCTGCAACCGAGGTACTGACCCTTGGCCAGAAGCCCATGCTCTAACCACTGAGCAACTGGCCAGGGCTATATTCACTTTATAGTTTTATATTTATATTTCCTATCACCATTTATCCCCTCTATGCCCTCTTCCACATCCACCCGCCTCATCCCCACGCAATCGCCACACTTGTCTATGTCCACGAATTCTCTTTCTTTGCTTTTTTGTTCAATCCCCCACCATTAAATATCTACACCAATAAAAGACAAAGATGCTAATTGACCGTACCTTCGCTACACCCACCAGCCAATCAGAAGAGTGTGCAAATTAACCCAACAAAGATGGCGGTTAATTTGCATACACAGGCACCCAGCGAAGACTGAAGACAGTGTAGAAGGAAGCCAAGCACTGCAAAAGGGAGCCAAGTGGCGGAGAAGGGAATGGATCGGAGGTAGCGGAGATGGGAGCGGAGCTGAGGCAGCGGACACAGGAGGGAGTGAAGTGGTGGCGAAGGGAGGGAGCGAGGCAGCGGACATGGGAGGGAGGCAAAGCAGAGGACATGGGAGGGAGCCGAGGAGGTGGGGAACGTGAGGCGCAAGTGGCGATGGGTGGGGTGGCCAGCTGAAGTGAGCGGAAACGAGCTACTCACGCACGATTTCATGTGCGCTGGGCCTCTA